TTGCTGGATTTCGTGGAATGGAAGGAATGCCTAATATGGGAGGATTTGGCATCAACCGAATGGGAGGTAGGTGAACACTGTTCCCATACACTTACTAGTTTGCAGTATTTATTTATTAAAATCGCCTCCTTTAGATATGGGTGATGTAGATAAGTTCAAAGGAAATACAGTCAGTGGCATGAGTGGAGGCTTAGGGACTAGTGTCAGAGTTAAGTATTTAATAGGTGCCTCTGACTTGTGCATTAAACCCACTTCTATTTAAACAAGCAGCTGTGAAACAAGTGTTGTATGAACATAAGTTTGGATGTATATAACAGGATATCTCTGGTTTTTTGCTTTGTTCTCTACAGAAATGTTCCGTGGTGGAATGGGAGGAAACATGGACAGAGATTTTGGTCGTAGTGACATGGCATTGAACCGTGGTTTTGGAGATTCTTTTGGAAGGATGGGTATGGTAGCTGTTACATTTCCTGTGGCAAATTGCAATGTAGTATTAGAAGAGTTTTACTAGAAGAAGGAAAGACCTGGTTTAGTTTGGTCATCTTCCTCTGTCCCCTCTTCCCTAGTCATTACTGTAAAGATGTAATCTGAGTGTTTATGATAGCCATTGCTTAGCATGGAGGTTAAAGTGTGGTGTGGGTTTTTTTTGGTTTTTTTTCCATCTGTAAAATATAAACAAAATAACAATTTGAGGAAAGCATTTAGCTTCATACTGTTAACTTTGTGAGTTAGGTCTTTTGGGTATTAAAGTATATGCTTCTGGTAATCCTGAACAAGCTGCCCAGGTACCACCTTTGTAACTTCCAGGAGCATGTTTTTGCAAAGGCATGCTGGGAAATTGTTTTTACTGCAAATCAGGTAGCATTGGATAGGAATGATAAATCTGGTGCCATTGGTTTTCTTCTTGCCTTGTGAGCTCAATCAGCTTGGAATGGGATTTATTTGTCTCTTCTGTAACTGAGCCAGCTTTGTTTTGTTTATAGATTGTGTCTTGTTGACAGAGTTAATTCTGTTACTTCTAGGTTCTCTCAAATTAGATATTTTTCTATCTTAAGAGGCCTGGAAGTACTTAACAGTAGAGCCTTCTTGTACTTTGTTACTATACTGTTAACTGGATTAATGCATTATTGGAGACAGGTTTTCTTTTCCCTCCTCCCCATTTTTGTCCCTTTCCCCTTCCCTTAATTCACCACTGTGAAAGAGAAGAGCTGCTAAGAGCATAAAGTTCATCTGGTCTAAAAGTTGATTTTTAATTTTTTTTTTTATTATTTTGGGCAAGTCATAACAAAGGGTAATTCTTGTGTGCTTTTCTTCAAGCACTGGTAATTTTGTAGAAGTGATAATGTAATAAGCTTGTCCGTTGCTTTAGTCCTAATGTCTTGCAACTGATCTCTTAGAGTGAAAGTGTACACTTGATTTCTATTTACTTGCAACATAGGATAAACATCTGTTTCCTGAGTGAAAATCCAAAGCCACATCAGTTACAAATGTTCATACAAGCAATGGATTTCTGAGTCTTCTGGTAACAGCATTGGCTTTGAAATGCATGAACATGGCCACTGTGAGAAACTGACGTGGGGGTAATTCATTCACTAGATCCAGCAAGCTTCAACTTATAACCTGTCAGCAATCTTACCATTTAAATACTATTCTGAGAACCAAGATGAGAGTTTCCCAACTTATCCTTAAATAATGGAAGGAAATTGTAGGGATTTACAAATATAATAGTTAATAGATATTGTGTTTATTCATGGAAGACCCTAGTGTATTCCTGTTACAATATTTAGGTTAATGGTATCTTAAAAGGAAATGCTGTGAGTGCATTTGCCTTTAGTACCCTGCCAGTTGCAAGGAGGGCAACTTAAGACAGTTTTTGATTGGGCTAAGGCATCAATTAGTGAAAATCAGGATGTTTGATTTGCAGCAGAAACATTTGAGTTGCTATTTAAATTGCCAAAATTTTGAAGTATCCAGGAAAAAAATCAAAGGTAGTGTCATAGAGCATCTCCAAGCATACAATTTTTATTGGTGAAAAGCTGTTGGGGGAAAATGTACAGGTAAAGGATGTCTCTAAGGTGAGAAACAGCTGAAATCTTAATAGGATTATTTGAGCTTTCAGGTTGGGTATGGGTTGGTGGGGTTTTTGGTGGGGTTTTTTTTGATTGGTTTTTAAGTGCATCTTAGATTGTTGAGGAGACTCTTTTTCCTTTTATAAGAGAGTGGGTATAACTGGGATGCACTCACAAACAACTAAGGTTTTCTAGCTCTGGAAAAGTGGGTATATTTTTTTTTTTTATTCACAATTTTAAGGTGCAAAAAACACTCATGTTGACAGCAATCTCAAAATTTGACTTGGTGTTTTATTACAAGACCCTCTCTGGCCTAATGAATAACTATTAAGATCTTCATATACAAACTGTTGGCTGAAGTACTGGGAGTAATCCTGCTGGTGTTGACAACTGGTAGGTTTTTTTAAACAGGCTAGTCCATATTTTTTGAGGTCTTGGTACGGCTATGATAGCATGTTGTCTGAAAGGAGACAAATATTTCCCACAAGAGACTGGCAGGGAACAATTGTTGCTGTTTTGAACTGTGTGGAGAAAACGAATCTAATGAAGACTCAGCAGTGACCTTTTTTAGATATTAAAACAATGGTGTCTAGCATAAAGATGACAGCTATTGATCTATTTTGCCATAAGTAAAAACTGACCTGTTTGTTCTAGGTATGAAAATCAAGCAAGAAAAATGCAACTGACAGTACCACTCTGTTCTGCAATGACAGAAATTTACTTCTTTTGAGTTTCTACAATTCTAGAAGCTCCCTTGGGATTACTTTCCTGAATATTAGCACTTCAATTAAAAGAATTATTTTTATCCCACTCTAGAATCAGTCTCTGATACCATTCTGGAGATTGCATGGTTCTGCCAAATATCTTTTATTAAGCATCGATTTCCTTTCTCCCTTTTCCCCACCAAATTCTATCAATTCATTCTTCCTATGCAGTAAAGGAAGACAGTAGGAGAGCTGCTGCTAGCTTTTGCATTGGTTTCTTAAAAATGGGAGACACTGAGGTATTTCTGTACTACAAAGTTCAAATAAGACGAACCCTTCTGTTTTGAGGCTGTTCTTACCAATGTGGGAAACGGCTCATTTAGTTTTAAGAAGTTTGTGCTGCTGGCAGACTGTCAGTGGGGAGAAAAGCTAGAAAGAAGTCAGAGTAGCTTAAATTCCCTAATAGAGGAGGAGGAACGAATGTTACTAGATGTTTCCTATTTAGTTTGAATAATAAAGGCACAGGTTACAGTGTTATGTAGAAAAGAATTGCCAGGTAACATTGAGACTGGTGCACTTCATAGTGTGTGCTTTGTTGTTGTCACTAACTGGTGGTTTCAGTTATGTCACTGTACTATTTTTTTCTGTTTAGGTGGTGCAATGATTGGTGTTTTTGCAGGAGGAATGGGAGCGCCTAGCATGGGCCCAGTAAGATCTGGAATGAGTAGGTTAACTTGTTTCAATAGAATGTAAATGCATAGGCAACGTAATGATACGGTGTACGTGTAGCTGTATCAGAGGATTTTGTTGTAGCTAGTGTCTTGCCAGTGTTGGAAGTAGTAGAATTCTGTTGCATGTGACTGCAAGTCTGATAGTTTTTTAAAGCTGTTCTCTTGAGGTAAAAGTTCAGAGGAAAACTTGCTCATACAGTCTTTCCCTTAATCTTGTTTTTGAAATGGTTTTAACTTCTGGTTTGGAGGGAGAAGTGATTCAAGTAAACTTGTGTTGCAGAAAAGACAAATGGGCACAGTTATTTGTGTGAACTTCATGAAGCTGAACTTCAGTAATCTCTCATTGTTGAAATAAAAAATCAGCCTTGAATTTCAGATTATCACTCAGTTTAACTTTGTGCAAAGCTCCAATACGGAGTTTGTATTACAGCAAATGTCTGAGTTCCTCAGGCTAGTAGAGCAGATGAGAAACTAAAATCTTGCTAGTGGCAATCTTGAGAGGCATAAGGCTTAAAGAGAAGGTCCCTCATGAATGATCTTGATAGTTTTGCTTTACATTAATTTTTAATTATGAATCCAGAAAGATTATAATAGGATATTTGAATGCCATTCATCTTAGGTCTTTATATAATATACATTAATGTATTTCATTGCATGTATCATAGGAAAGTCCATGCTCTTCACAGTACTTGCAGTAACATCTGTTCTCTGCAAAATATGCTTTCTCTAGAAGATTGTGTCATTAAGTGTGGGTATGGCTGCATTAAGTAAAGTTGAATGTGAATGCAGGAAGCAAAATAAACAATAGTGTATATGGTCAAATTATCTGTATCTTGACATTACCACAGTCATTTACTTGATCTCTCTTTAGTACAGGGTATCATATTTTTATTAATTAAACTGGACAGCCTTTAAATCTTAATTCTTGTGTTCAACATTTTACTACATTAGATAGTGTTTGGTTTTTCCTTTTATTTTTGAACTGACACTTTATATCTTCTAATACTTTGCCTTAAAATACTAGCCATGCTGCTAGATAAATCACTGTGCATGTATGAAGTTGTTTTATATTACAGATGTTTTATTAAAGTTACTTTCCCCTTGACACTTTTTTTTTACAAAATACTTATGTATTTATTACTAACAAGAGATTTTTATTTTATTCTCCTTTTCTTTTATGTAGGTGGTGGAATGGGTGGTATGAACAGTATGGCTGGAGGAATGGGAATGGGGATGGATCGGATGAGTTCTGGTTTTGATCGAATGGGACCAGCTATGGGTGGAGGCCTGGACAGGAACATCGATATCGATCGAGGGTTTGTGCCTGGCCCGATGGGAAGTGGCGTAAGAGACAGATTAGGCTCTAAAGGCAACCAGATATTTGTGAGAAATGTAAGCATTTGAATACATAGAAACCATGAGCTGCTTTTGTGTGCACATTTGATTACATGCTCTTTTTTCTTTGTAATATTTTGTTATTCATAATGCTTTTTTATTCTAGCTTCCTTTTGACTTGACCTGGCAGAAGCTAAAGGAGAAATTCAGTCAATGTGGTATGTATATGAATCTTGGCCCTGCTCAGCCCCATTGACTTCATGTGCTATATGGTCTCTGTTAGATAAGGACAGGAAGACAAGGTTGTTGCCTTATCCTGAAGAAGAGTCTGGCGAGCCTAATCTTTCTTACTTCCCCCAGCTTTCCTGAGTTATATAAATAATTTTTAGGCATGACATAACATATGAGACCAAGGTACAGTCTGGGCTATGTTGACGCTGAGTGCTCGTCTGCTATAAACTTTAACCTATTCAATTAATAAAATTACTCTTTGAGCTTTTTCTTTTTTTTTTGGAGCAGGTTATCATGTATCCTCTGGCCAACACAGAGTATATAATGTAGCATTTATTTTGAGACAAATGCATGCAGGGACCTGTCCAGGTTATGCATTACTTCCAGAAATGGTGCTGCGTCAAATCAGAGTTAGTAATTTTGCCAAAGTGGCAGATTGTTTTTATGCAAATAGATGATCCTGATTAGCATATTTGCAGGCTGTAATGCTTCTCCTTTATGTTAAGAAATAAAGTCCCTTTTTATGTAAGATAAAGGATTGCTACAAATATCCAATCTTTTTATCTAATTCAGAAAAGTTGTCTTTTCACAGAAGTGAATGAAAAATGAAGGTTGGGTGTAGAAATACACAATTGTTTTGAAAACGCACTTTCAGAAGGGAAAGTTTTAACTGAATTACAGGATGGCTTTTCTTATTTTGGAGAGACAGAAAAGACAAATAATTCAAAACATACTACTGATACCTAAGACAGTCTTCATACACCTATTTGCAGATTTGATATAAATTAGAACTCTCAGTTCATCTATGAAAAATTTTCAGATTTTCACTTTTTTTTGTATCTGGAGGATACAGTGAAACAGGTTCTCTGTTTTTAGAAGTCTCAACTGGGCAACTTTCAGATAGTTCAGAATTATTTTCATTATCTACTCGGCAACTAACAGATGTAGTAATTATGTTGAATTGGTTTTAAGAATTATAAGCACAAATTTAAGCAACAGATTGTATTCACGCCAGTATCATAAGGAAATATAAAGACCTTGTCTCCATATGTTCAGTTTCTTTCAGTGAGAGGCCAGTCTTCTATTGTATCCTACTTAAGAATAAAAAGCTATGTATTTTAGGGAAAAGTTTCTTGTTCCTAGTGGCATATGGGGGCTCAGGAGTGGTGTGCTACAAGAGACCATAAGTAAAAACTCATTAGCTTCAGGCACTGAATGTTCTCTGAGGTACCAAGACATCTACATAAAAATGTTGTCTCATGAGTTGAGTGTCCAACCTGAAGACGGCACTGCAGGACTTGAATAGTGCATGCTACTTTGCCACCACTCCTAACCTGGTAACTCTATTGTTTTAAAGGTTCTAATTTTGCTCTGCAGCTTCTTTACAAAATCACTTCACTGTTGTGATTGCATGGTAAGTTGCTGTGATGAACATGGTGGACTGGACTGGGCTATAATTCACTTAACGCCTGTCAGTAGTCGCACTTCTGGCAGTGTCAGTAACAGAAACACAAAACTTTCCCTTAGCCTTATAGGCACTTTGTTTCAAACTTGAGGTGAAATACAGGCATACTTCATCTTATGCTAGCGTGAAGGAAAGGTTTGAAACAATGGATCTTAATTTGGACTCTTCACTGCTGTTTTGGCCTGTGTCACCTTCCCTGAATGAGTGAAGGAATATACCATCAGTCTGAAAGTGCTAATTTCATATCACTCTAGACCATATTTAAAAATGCTTTTTTTTAACTTCTGATGAGTTCTTTAAGTTAGTGCACTGAAGGCTTGAAATAACTGCTGTTTAACTTATTTATTCAGGTCATGTAATGTTTGCAGAAATAAAAATGGAGAATGGAAAATCAAAGGGCTGTGGAACAGTCAGATTTGACTCACCAGAATCTGCTGAAAAGGCCTGTAGGATAATGAACGGCATAAAAATCAGTGGCAGAGAAATTGATGTACGCTTGGATCGCAATGCATAATTTAAAACTGTGTGTTCAGGAACATTCCTATGTCTGTTTAGCTTCTCTATCCTAGTAAGTCATTTTTAGTAACATTGTATGCTTACAAAAGCTGTAAAAAGGAACTTTTAAATCCCACCAGCCTTTAACAGTATAGTGTTTAATATACTGTGATACTTGTTAACTGAATCTTACTATGTTTGGTTTTTAAAGACAATTTGCCTGATTTTTGTTGTTTTTTTTAGAGGCACTGAACACCTGCAGGTCGCTATAGACCGTGGAAGCTTTGGATGCTCAGTGCCTTTGGAAAATTAGGCCAAGTGTCTCTAGTCATTCAGTTTAAATGAATGGTTATACTGTTTTTAATAAAATAAGCCATTTTCTCTGTTAATCTCAAGATTGCATAGTGGGATTTGTTAAGTGTTTTCTGATTATTTCCCCCCCCCCCCCCCAGTGTGTATCAACATTGTAATGTAAAAACTAGATGTCTTTTTTCAGATTTTTGGTTTTCTATGTGCGTTGTAGTCATACTGTAATTCTTGACTCTAAAAGAAAGGGCTCCAATTAGGCTGTGATGTTTTCGTTCTACTTAATATTACTTTAATGACATGACTTAGTTCTGTAAATAAGATTTAGAGCCCGATGGGAGTTTTGTTGTTTTGTTGGGTTTTTTTTATTTTATTTTGACTAAATGAAGAAACTGATCTTTCTCTCCTGCTTTTATTTTTTTCATCAGTATAATCACTGATTAAAATTAGTTACCACAGACCCTTGTAGGATTGTTCCCTATGATGCCAAGTTCATATAAAATTGATAATATAGTAAATACTAAGTACAGTACAAGACAAATTGCTCCCAATTTTTTATCTATTTTCCAGCCATTTAGGTGAACTGCTAGAAAAATAAAAACCACAGAACAGATAAGAGAAATGGCTGTGTATGTCAAACCACTGCTGTTCACTTCTGCGGGTTCTGATGTATTTATGAAGGCAGTTTTTATAAACCAGGGTATTCCCAAACAGAGCATATCAAATACGTTGGATCCTACAATGTTAGACATAGCCATATCTCCATTTCCTGTGAAAGAAGAAATACATATAAGTCTGCTTAATTGTATTGTACAAAATTGCCAAACTGTTTTGGAGGAACAGACTGTCAGCCCTCAATTTCTCAGAGCACCCTTTTCAGACTTTTCATTGAAAGAACTATAGTCAAGATTCTACAGAACATGGTTTTGGGTACCACAAGCATTAAAAAAACCCCACAGTATCCCTAAATCACCAGCATCTGCACAGTTGCACTTAAAATAAGCTAGACAGGCTATTACAAAATCCAGTCATGTTTAAAATACCGAGACCTACAGTTGTGTTTTGCAGTAAAACTTTAACACTTAATCAACAACAAACCAATCTAGAATACTTTTCTGAGATACTCTTGAGAAGTTTTTAAATCTCTGAGCCACAGCTTCTTCAGGTAAGCTATTTATTTATTATTGGTAAGCTTAAGCTTTAGGATCTGGAGCGAAATTTTGAAGTTACTCCTTGAATTTCTGGAAATGTTGACTAGAATTCTTTTTTTTTCATAGTACCTTTTAAACACATGCATTGGAATGAGTGTGAATACTAAAATCTTTACCTTTTTGAGCCACCAGCACGCTTGCAACTGTATCTGGTACGCTTGTTCCTGCTGCTAGTAATGTGAGACCCATTACTGATTCTGGAATTCCCAGTGTTTCACCTGCAGTTGATAAATAATGGTAAAAGATGCAAGTATGTTTTTAGTTTTTCATCCAAAGAAATTGCTTTGGACTTTGCTGGAAAAAGGATCAGTCATCATATGGTAATTTCAAAAGGAATCTGTCAGCTAACTTGACTAAATACGAAGTGACTGAACCATGAAGTAGTTAAGAACAACAATATCATCCTGTCTTTGTTCTTCAGTCAAATAAAAAAGGAATTGTAGTATAGTAACCATCTTAACAAGTTTCTCAAAGACCTGAGTGGAATGTCTCCAGTGGTCAAGACAATACCAATTAAGATTTTTTTTTTCTTTCAGGTACAGTAGAAGTTTAAATATCTAACAATTTACTCCTCTCCCCCCCCCCCCTTAACTTCTACAAAATATAATAGTCTTCTGTATTTTTTTGGCATCTCATCATTAGTGCTCAAAAGTATCATGATGCAATAATTTATAATTGTCCTCTGTGAAGGGGGAGGGAAAAAGCACATAAATTTTCTTGGGGAGGAGGCTCATTATGATCATTACTACAATACAGTCTCAACTACATGGCTTTAGCATTTCACTCCAGTTAGACAGTTCTTTTGTTGGATTTGGAAGAATCAAAATGCAGAATTTTTGTGACACTTGCAAGTGCAAGTAATCCTTCAGAACTGTGAGTTTAGCTAAATACTGGTTTAAATTAAGAAAAGTTTTGTTACTTAAACATCATCTTTATTTTTCCCCACCTTTTTTTAGCCCCATATGTCCTGTAAGCATATTAATTTCTCACTTAAAATACAGGGATTCAAATCTTCAAAACTGTTTTGGCAATTGAACCACTCACAAGCATCAATATGCTAAAGTATTTGATACCTGAACTCAAATTATTAAGTAATTACCTTGTCTTAAACTTTTTTGTTCACTGAAAGGTATCTTAATATCTTTTTTTAAAATCTGAATTATTTCTTGCAAAATTTGGACATTAATAAGAACAATTTTCTTAAAATAAGAGGCAGTACTCTGTAAGCTAGGTCAGCAGTGCTTGCCTAGTACATACCAGCTTAGTCTAGGTCAGCCCAGTAAATTTATATTTGAAACTATTTGTTGGTTCAGAGGGACTAACATGATCCTGTTGGAGAATTTGTACTGGTATTTATTCTTCCATCACTCCTAATGTAAGAGTTTTGTAGGATGGCGGACCAAAAAGATCAGCTTTTGTAAACTATCCAGGCTGGAAAAATCATGGTTTGTGGCAAGCAAACCGAGGTGAAGTAAGCCTGAACCAGCCTTACGTACCCAAGTGTAGTTTCTGGCCCTCTGGAGGTTACAAGATAGAAACTAAACTCAGGTGAATCTGATTTTCTTTTTATTAGCTAAATCTATTCTCTATTTAATCTGTAGGGGCTTTTTCTGGCAACTGACCATAAAGAGAGAATAGTCTTATTTTTCTAGCCTTTAGTTAATTTTGTGTATCACTAGCAATATCTTGCTATAAGTAGTCATTTTTTATTTGCTAGGAACAAAAAGGTGTATTAAGTTAGGTTTGTTTTTGACCATCAAAATTTAATCCCCAGCTATACTTTCGTGACATTCTGATAGGCTGTTTATGCAATGATAGAATCTGAGTCTCCCTTCATGAAAGAACCTGGACTTGAATATAATGTATGTGTAATTTTTAGTGGTTTAATGTGTAAATAGAACATATTTGACCTAGAAGTAGTGGGCCAAAGACCCCCCCCAGTACCGCTTGTGCTGACTCTTCAAAGTGAACTAACACAGTTTGAATCTCCAGTGTATGTGCTTTCATATGAATTAGTACTTTCTCTAGTAGAACAGCAATAACTTTCATTTTAATCCTGTTTCAAAAGCTTCTAGCATTCAGACAGTAAACCCTTGCTCTTTAGATACAAGTGGAAAATTATTTGACCAAGGAGTGAACCTGGTGGGTGTTTTATCCAGTGATCTACTAGTAATTTCTCAAAGGTTTGTGTAGGTCTGTTTCTGCACTGAACAAGGAGTTATTCATTGAACTTAAGTTGAAAACAGGTTTAGGATGCTGAACTAGCAGAATACTTGAGTAGGATTAGTGAGCTATAATGTGGAAATAGCAAGCTTTGTAGCATTTCTTTCTTGATTAGAGATTTGTTTTCTGCTTGTTCTTAAAAACTGGATTTTTCTCAAGCTGACTGGAGAAACAGTGAATTGAGAAGACCTTTAATACCTTAAGATATTTTTAAGAGAATATTTTTACACAGAAGTTCATACCCCTTCTCTCACTTAAATGCAATTCTACTGCTTCGCTTTATGATGCAGATTTGTAAGAGGTGCACAACCTGAGAATGTTTAATAAATGCATGATGCTATAGTTGAAATAAAATAATACAAAAATTTGGGAGGTTTTTTTGGCAGTTAATGCCAAATCTCTTACTATAGTGTTAAGAAAAATATAGGTATAGAAAAAAAATGGCTCTTATACGTAACCCTGAACCGTTAATTTCAGTCTTGGTGGATTCCATGTTTGTCAAACTTCAGCTTGACAAGTTCATTGCTGTGTAATTGTTTCACTTCATGAAGCAGTTTAATGAAACTGTCTCATTTAAAATATAGGCTGTTTTTTGTAGCTATGTAGACAAATTCTCAATCATGTGATGGTAAGCAGTCTGAAGCAGCTAAACTCTGAAGTGGTTTTCATTAGGTGGAAAAAGGTGGCAAAAACTAAGCAGTCAAACATAAGTTTTTGCTGGGGTTTTTGGGTTTGTTTTTTTTACAGCAAAGTATATGTTGCTAAATTGACTTAATTGTGGGAAGGAGAACTCATCACAGGAAGAAAACTGTTTTTTCAGTGATTCTCGATGGGTTGATTCTGTATAGCGGCAGCACTTTAGGTACCTACCTGCTATTGTTACCATCCATACAAGAACATAAGTTATTGCAGAAATCCATGCTGCTGAAATTAAAAATGTCACCATGAACCAGTTCCTCCAAAACTGTCTTCTGCAATCTGGTATAGTCAAATAGAGTAGTGTAATAATAGGAAGGGATAACACCCACAAAATTCTCTTCATATCTGCTTCAGGCATGGTGAAGACGCTTGGATGATCTGTTGAAGAAAAAGTAACTCTCTTAAGTTGTAGCATTAAGTTTGAATCCATAGCATAGTCATATTACTGGCCTCTACTTGTGAGGATACTGAAAAAAGGTGAAAAAATACTTCCTCAAGTTCTAGCTGTGGTCCTACCCTGTACCTATGTCACACTGGACAAAACTCTGAAATCAAATGTTATTTATTACTGGTTCTCTCCTAGTGACATAAAGTGGATGAAAAATGAACTTTTCTATAAAGGTTTACACACAATGTTTACCAAGAGTAAGTACCAAGTGCTGGTTTTTGCATAAGTGAAGAGGAAACTGATGATCTGTGGCCACATCATAGCTATTCCTTTTACTTCTGATATAACGCATATTTGGGGCTATGAACCTTCCATTGTTGTAAGAAAACAGTAAATATTAGTACAGTACCAATGTGTCTTTTCAACTGATTGCATTTTACAAGCAACGTGGCTGGGAAGCTTCAGATGTGCACAGCAAAGACTGATGGAAGTCTGCTGTTCTAATATGACGCAAATGAGCAGCTATCCTAGCACTCCTGTAGCAACTAACTTCATGTAAATA